AAATATAAACAATTGTATTCTGATTTGTTAATTTTAGGATTTCACCCGTGGTATATTGGCTCGTTTTGGATAATTGTAGAAATTTAGGAAATATCCGAATTACTCAATTTCTGGTCTGATTAAAAAACGACATGATTAAATGCGCAATTTGTTTATCAAAAATGTTTATATAGATTACACACATATTTTTTTTATCAATTGAATAATATATGTCCGTTTTAAAAAATTTGAATCATAACATATGCAGAAAAAAAAACTAAAATTTATTAACTATATATATTTCATAATAATTAAAAATAATATAATATAAGATAAAATAAAAGTAAAATGAGAATCATATATTTATGTTTAAACTAGGTAGAGATGTTTTAGGAAATTAACTCAAATTTGTTATATTAGCATTAAATCATCAGATTTGATTTCCTTATCTATAAAAATTGTAAAGAATATACCATAAATAAAGAGTTTAGATATAGTAATTAGTTGAGAATATATATATATATTTAGATTTTATAGAATAATTTCGTTTTTAAAATTTGCTAATATTTAAAGAAAGATCCGATTGAAGATTTCCGGGTCAAAATAAAAAGATTTCCATGTCCAAATTAAAAAAAATCTGACCCGATTAGGATCCCTTAAAAGTGTTGCAAAAATGTATAGTAGATGTAAACAAGTATTTAAAGCCTCCCAAACGTAGCATACTGACAGTCGGACAGAAGTGCATCCCACGGGTCCCAAAGAGGACGAGGGTGCTCACTGGTAGGGACGGTTAGGGCGTTATAAGTGGTATCAGAGTCAAACCCAAATGTGTGTCGAGTCAAGAGGGCTCACATCATCGGGGGTGACGGTTTTATTGCGCTCTGTCAGTGGGGTGGATTGACCTCGGTTTCAGGAATATGGTGGTACATGTAATTGACTTCGGTTTCAGGAATATGGTGGTGCATGTAGAGAAGTTTAAAATAATTGATTTGGCCACCTATGTATCCAAAGTGCACTTATCTTTTTGGTCAAACATTCTGAGAGAACTCCATAGTTAAATGTGCTTGATTTGAAAATCATTTAAACTCGTGCAGAGTTATCATGAGTAATACAATAGCAATCTACTATACATTTTTGCAACACTTTTAAGGAATCCAATCGGATCGGTTTTTTTTTTTAATTTTGACCCGGAAATCTTCAATTGGATATTCCCTTAAATCATGTCAAATATCAAAAACGAAATTATTATAATAAAATCTAAAAAAAATATATACTCTCAACTAATTACTATACTTAAACACTTTATTTATGGAATATTTTTTACGATTTTTATAGATAAGGAAATCAAATATGATGATTTGATGCTAATATAACAAATTTGAGCTAATTTGCTAAAAACTCTCTACCAAATTTAAACATAAATATATGATTCTCATTTTACTTTTATTTGATCTTATATTTATATTATTTTGAATTATTATAAAAAATCTATAGTTAATAAAACTTTAGATTTGTTTCTGCATATGCTATGATTCAAATTTTTAAAAACGGCCATATATTACTCAATCGATGAAGAAAAAAATCTACTTAATATTTTTAAAGTACATTTTAAGGAATCCAATCGTGTCGGGTTTTTTTTTTCCAGTAGTTCAAAAAAATATATATATATTTTCTCAAATAATTACTATATCTAAACTTTTTATTTATGGTATATTCTCTACGATTTTTATAGATAAGAAAATCAAATATGATGATTTAATGCTAATATAACAAATTTGAGCTTATTTCCTAAAAAGTCTCTACCTAATTTAAACATAAATATATGATTCTCATTTCACTTTTATATTATTTTATATATATATATTATTTTGAACTATTATAATATATATATTCCATTAATAAAATTTTTCGATTTTTTCTGCATATGCTGTGATTCAAAATTTATAAAACGGACATATATTACTCAATCGATAAAGAAAAAAAATATGTGTACAATCTATATTAATATTTTTGAAGAACAAATTTGAGCGTTTAATCAGGTCGTATTTTTTTTTACTCTGACTTGGAATTGAATCATTCGGATATTTTCTTAATTTCTACAATTATCCAAAACGGGACAATATACCACGGGTGAAATCCTAAAATTAACAAATCAAAATATAATTATTTAGTATTTTAAGATACAATTATAAATTATTTTTATGTGTTGGTCCAGAAACACACACTAATTTTAATATATATATATATATATATATAACCATTTGAAAGCAGAAGTTTAAATTGACTCGAATTATATATCTTTTTTAAAAAGTGTTATTAAAAAATAAAAAAAATGATTTTTAATTTTACGAGATGATATTAGATGGTGGGACGGGTTTGGATTGATATTAATACGGGACAAGATATCACGGATGAAATCCTAGGATTAACAAATTAAAATACAATTATATAATTTCAAACACTAAACAAAACAAATACAACTTAAAATTTTTATTTTTAGTTACAATTATCTATTTCATCAGTTTATAAAAAGATAAAAAAAATCAAATAATTAACCCGCGGTGTACCGCGGGTCATATCCTAGTTATATATTATAACAGATCACTGGATAATGATATTTACATAAAAATCCCAGAAGGAGTTAACGTAAGAAGGTTAAGAAAATGATTTGTTATAGTTACAATTTGTATGTTGATGATTTGAACATCACTAGAACTCTTGAAGAGATTCATAAATAATGAACTATCTTAAGAGAAGGTTTAAGAAATTAGAAATATAAAATTATTGTCATGTATCTCAAATGAACATCTAGCGAAGATGTTATCTGAAAAAGATCATTGGAGGTTTTTACATAAAAATGATCATATATGTTTGGTCTTGAAGTACCATATATAAAGTACGATTAGAGCAATTTACTAATCTATTTCATGAATGAAATATATGTTTTGGATGACAAGAATAGCATGAACAATATGTACAAGATAAATGTTTAGAAGATTGTACATGAAAAATATTTAGGCCAGAAGTCCAATATACACAAATAAATGTTCTTTTTTGAGAAAATATGTTATAGACGAGAAGACTATAAGAAATCCACACGAGTTTGGTCATTAAAGTTATGCTTAATCATTCCAAAGAGATAGTATATTTGATCAGAATTCATCTCCTGGAGAAGATGTTTTCTAGGGGGAGAACTATAATAATGTGCGTGGATGTACTTTTTTTCCTTATCATAGTTTTCATCCCAAAGAGTTTTTCTATGACGAAGTTTTTAACGAGACATCAAAAAACACGCAAATAATAGATACATGATGAATGTTATCATTACAATGATATATAAAATTGTATCAATCTCCCAAATAAATATCATACATTAATGATATTAAGAGAAACAAATAGAATGATCAAGATGAGTCATCTTAAAGATGCATGAGCTACAGAAGAATGGTGATGCATTTTATCTAGATATTCGTTCAAGTAAAACTTTGATGGACTTATTCGCAAAGCACTTCGAAATTGCTACTTTCAAGAAACAAGTTTACCATTTGGGAGCGTCGTCATGAAGATTTCAATTTATGCACTTATCATGGGGAGTAAAAGCGCGTTGCACTATTTTCCCCTTAACCGTGACAACATCTTATGCGCATTAGGAATATTTTCCCGGCTTTTACTCCTTTTTGATTGAGAACTCATAATTCTTCCTTAAAACATAAATACTCGAATATCTCCTCTTTGCCCATGAAATCATACCAAACACTTCCTAAAACATAAGAAAACAATAGAAAATATGGGTGAAAATCTCATGTTATCAAATACCACGTCTCTACCCACCATTACCTTCCTTGTCAGTGGATCATAGAGTTGATATGCCTTGGAACCCGGTTTTGTTCCAATTAATATTAATCACACTTCTTAATCACACTTCTTGACCTATCCGACATGTTAATGATATTTTAAAATTTTATAAATATTGATTCAAACCCGTCCACCATATAAACTCGTTCAAAAATATAACCGTTCACTATATAACCCCATTCCTAAATATAACCCGTCCTGTAATTTCTTAACTCGTTCCGTGATTTGTTTTCTAATTTAGTAGTAATTTTAAAAATTAAACGATTATTTATTATATAAAAAAGTTTGCAAATTGTATCATTCTCTAAAATATTTATATTTTATAGTTTACAATTGTTATTAAGTAACATTATACAGGGAGACAATTTTTAGTTTTATACAATCTTTTTTAAATGACTGATTTGATATGTTTGATATTGGTGGTATTAAAAAAAGTTAAGGATTTAATCCGTATTGAAGTGGCGGATTAATAATATTATATTTTTATTATTATTGTTGACTCAAAATCCTGTCCCGCCAAACCCGTCCCGCAAAAAAAAACCCATTTATTTTATTAATGTTGATCTTATTTATGATATGATTCTGAATCATTGTTTAAATATTTTAGTCGATGTGGAACGTTGAACACATATTTTTCATAAATTGGATAATATATGTCTGTTTCTAAAATTTCGAATCACGGTATATGCAGGAAAAAAATTGATTTTTTTTACTTTATGTATTATATGATGATTCAAAAAAGTTAAAAACAAATCAAACAATGATGATAGGAGAATCATAATTCTAAATTTTAATCAAATCTTCTAAATATCTAAATTATTAAATATGGAATATCCGGTAGATGAGTTAGGTTAAGTATAACCCGATCCAGCAAACTTAATTATACCAAAATATGTAAACGGGTCGGATACCCATTGTATCCAAATGCATTTTGCCCCATCCGCTAAAAATGTAATTCAAAAATACTAGTATATATTTATGCTTTTGGGAACCCATATTTTAAATACTTCATTCACCAACTTTACATTAATTATTACATGTGAAGATTATTTAAATATATATATATAAACATGATGTATATTTGTATCATCTTGGAATTATTATATAAAATCTGATTTGGTCTCAATTTACTATGGCTGAACTTTTTTGTTTCATTAATAGTCAGCTTTTATGTGATGTGTTTAATAGAGTTGATATGTGTAAATGTTTTCTATACATATGAAGAGAAAGAATCAAATGCATCAATATAGAGGAAGTGAAACTTGTAAGATAATTCCTCTTGTTCGACTTCTTCTTCCACTAGTGTTTTCAACTGCTGATCCTTAAATCTTCCTCAGTTTCATCTGATAAATCATCACAGTCTATGGAATGTGTCAAAAGAGAAAGACTCTGGAACCATATAGTTAGTGTATCACGTCACTTGCCTCACAAGAAAACTCTTCTTCTTCGTCAGAGTGGTTTACTGTTATCTCAAACGTGACCTCCTCAAATCGTCCATGCTTCTCTTCGCACCCGTTTTGTCCACACTGAATCTCATTGTAATCCATGATTGAACCCACCGAGGAATGGTTCGATGCGGAGCTGCAGAAGATGCTCCAATTGGGAACCAAAGAAGCAATCTCTCCATCGATCATATTGGCTATCTTTGTGACATCGCGGTCATCCATCTCCAGCTCTTCCACCATCTCTCTAGCGACGCTAATTGCTGTGTCAGTCTCGATGTCAAACGGGAAATATATGTTTCTCACACGCCCTGCAACAATGGACAAATTGCTAGGAACATACAAACTTCTACCAGAACCGGGAAAATTTCCACTCTTCTCTAGTCTAGTTACTGTAAAGAATAGAGTGTTACAAACCTTCCTTGTCGACGATTCTTAGTCGCAGAAATAGTCCATCACCATTTTCTCTTCTGTCCCCTTTAATGCTTATATCTACATTACCAAAGCTCTTATCGTCTTCTTCTTCTTCTTCTTCATCATCATCATCATCGTTTTGAAACTCCAAGAGATCGATTCCGTGTGACTCCACTGTCTCATCTCCGTTGTAGTAACCGTTTAAGTAGTGAGGATGATCAAATGAGTTGATGTTGGTTCGGTCATTGTAGAAAGAGTCAGCTATATGATAAGAATGTCTAAGAAGAGTCCCTGCTTCATCTATGAGACCCCTTTGGCTCTCTACGCGTCTCATATCCGATTCACCTTCATCGATACAAAGAAAATGGTCGTCTAGTAGTTCACAAGCAGAGAGCCTAAGGGACACTGTGGCCAAACACTTCTCTATAAAGCCTCTAACCTCTGGATCTTTCACTTTGTCTAATCCATCTGGTTTCTTGCCCTGAGAAAGATAATTTAAGAATCTTATAACTTGATATAAAAGCTTCTAATCACGGTAAAAGCGGATGGATTCTTACCGATATAACTCTCTTGTAAATTTGAGCAGGGTGAGAACACTCGCTATACGGGTAATCAAATGTTACCATCTCCAAAACACACATCCCGAACGAGTAAATATCGACTAATTGGTTATATTCTTCTTTATAAACTTCTGGAGCCATGAACTCTGGTGTCCCTAAAGATAGCAAAAACTTTCAGCACAATAATCTAATTATGTATTCAGCTAAAGAAAAGCAGTGACCAGATTTCATACCGACACAGTGAGCAGCGTGAGAGTGTTGTAAACAAGCGGCAAGACCAAGATCACCAATCTTGACTTCTCCTTGGTTCCCATTAATAAAAATATTGTCACATTTGAGATCTCTATGAATCACAGGAGGGTCGTGTGTATGAAGATAGTTTAATCCTCTTAAAATTTGTCTACACCAATTCTTCACTGCTCTTATGTTCACTCTCTTATGTTTTAGCCTATACCTGCATGAAGTAATGATGACAAGTTAATGATGAAGTAACCAAGAGAAATTCATGACTTAGGATATGAGATAGACAGAGAAGCTTACTGTCTCAAGGTGCCAGAAGTGAACATTTCAGTGACAAAGTTGATGTTTCGATTATCGGTATCGACCCAAGAAGCGTAGAACTTCATGATGCTTTTGTGTTTTAGAGTCTTGAGGAGATGAATCTCACAGTAGAGCCTCTCCAGTTCTTGAGGACTCTGCAAGAAATCGTAGAGCTTTACTTGGTTCCATGCTACTTCTATACCTTGATACTCATCAAATCCTCTGTAACTGCAAATCCAAATTATGGAACCACAAACATAGTTTTGTCTAATTCAGAATCACTAACCCCAGCTTTTAATTAATGATCAAGATTACCAATTGTGTAAATTAATCTACCAAGTGGGAAGTCACAAAAACTAAAGGTAAAATGATAAATCTTTTTAAGAATCAATGATGAATCGACCCCCACTAAAAGTAAATATCTAAAAATCAAAAAATGCAAAAAAAAAAAAAATTCATAGATTATGAAATGAAAAATAATCAAACTTTACTAAGAAAATTTGAAAACAAAAAATAAGAACATGTATTGGTATGCATGAAAGTCCAACACCAAAGTTACAGAGAAGTTTATAAAAAAAGAAAAGTAAGGAATCTGAAGAGAGAAATTGGATTCTTACACAGTCTTTGATGATCCTTTACCCAGAACTTCATTGTACTACAACAACAAGAACACACATACAAGAACTCAACAAAACAAAAAGAGATAATCATAAGCAAATAAATAGTTGAGAGAAAGAAGAAATATACCCTTCCATATCTTCCAGTAGGATCAACTTCAACATACTCAGAGTAATCTGATTCAAGATGGCTGATATTGTTCATCATACAAAATCCCAAGAATGATCAAAAAGAGCAAGACAATAGATGGAAAATATAAAGAAAACCAAGAAATCCCAAAAAATGAAAAGAGCAATATATGGTAATATATTTAAATAACTTTTTAATTTTCTATCTTTTGGGTTTCTTATAGCCTTTTCATCATAATCATCTTTGCACCTCTGACATAATAAGTTAAACAAATAAACATTAAACTCAGTGTAAATGAGGAGACAAAGAAACCAGATTCCTTTTTTTCTCTCTGTTTTTTTGTTTTAATATAATTTTCGTTGGTTGTTTTTACATTAAAACATGACTATCTCATGAAAAGATGTAAATAAAGGCGGGTGCAAGACGCAATGAGCGTGGTCCAAACGAGTAAACAATTGTTTGGCTTTTCTTTTTTTTTTTTTATTTTTTTTGGCAACAAACAAGTGTTTGATTAAAATACATTTTCCTAGATATTAAATTTATATCAAATCAAAGATATAGGAGATCATTTGTTATCTTATTAGTTTCTAACTAGACGCGTGGTGCTTTTTAAAGATATTTTTTTGTCAATTTTATTTATGATATTATGTTCATGTTTAGAAAAATACACACTGTATAATTGTAATGTTTTTAATGAACAACTCTATTTACTAGTATTAGGCCTGGACAAAAAAAACCGGATCCGATACCCTGACCGATACCCGGATCGAAAAAACCGGTTCGGGGCGAGTACGGGTAAGAGAAAATTATCTTATTGGGTATAGTTTTTGTAAATCCGTGGATATCAGGTCGGTCCGGATATTATCCGTTACCCAAACAGGGTATCTGAATACCCGAACATATAATTAAATATCCAAAATATTAATTATATATAATTTAATTATCTAGAATTACAATTATAAATCTAAATATATCAATTAACTTTAGACTTAAATACCCTAAACAACCAAACTATCCAAAAATTATTTATTATGTTTGTCAAAATTTAGCAAAATATATTCAAATATAACTGAATTTATTAAAATTTAACAAATTTTTAAGGGTTTATCGAATACCCGATATTTTACATACAAAATCCGACATTTTACATATAAAATATCCGAACCGAACGGATACCCATATTTTTCGGGTATTAATAGGTCTAAATTGTTTTATCCGAACCGACCCGAACCCGACGATATCCGAACCGGACTGGAACCGAATGTTTAAAAATACCCGAATAGATCATAAATTCATTACCCTTTAACCCGAACCCGAACGGGGTACCCATATGCCCAGGACTAACTAGTATATATGAGTGAATCACTTGAAGTCATATATAATTAGTTTATCCAAATTGTTTTGCCACATAAATTTTAGGCAAATCACTAAATATCATTGCTTAGGTTATTTCTTTTTTAATATTTTGAGCATCTTTGTTGATATTTTGGCCTGATTTTACAAAAATACGAATAAATCAATATGTCAATCCTTTGTATATATAACATGACCACACTACTCGCTACAAAGAACGATTACGACCGAGTGATCAGACGGTTGACTCTTTTTAACCACTTTTCTGAAATCTGATACAAATTTTAGTCAAGTAAATTATTCTCACTCTTTAAACCTTAAGGATAATCTTAAGAAGAGGAGTACTTCCACTATAAAGATTTTCATGAAAACATCTATAAACCTTATTTATTTTGAATCAACCTTATCTCTTTTATCTGTCACGTAAAGATAATATCAAACAAATTCATTCATAATCATTTCGGAGAGAGAAAAAGTATAAAATGGATAAATACAAAATTTGCAAGAAAAAAAAAACACACACACCTGTGAAATAATAAATACACAACAATTAAGCAGGTAAAGATGAATGAAAACCTATTTGAGAATAATCTAGCTCAAACATTTGGCTAAATGTAGCGACCATGCATATGATTGCGCCCCCAAAAAGGTTTGGGCAAGAGTTGTGTATACTTGTAGTATCGCAATCGATTGGTGTGAGATAACTAAGTTGGTTAGTCACAGTCACTTTTTAACTTCTACAACTCTGTACTTCTAATAGATTCATTATGTGATGATAAATGTTCTATTTTGATTTGAGCTATTGACGAGAACTCAAAGAAGTACTATATTAGACCATCTCTAATGCATTTCTCTATTTTTTTACTCTAAAATATAGTAACTCTAACACAGAGTAGAATTTCTCTAAAATGTATCACCTATTTTCTACTCTAAAATAGAGTTAGTGTAAAAAAATAGAATTACTGTAATATAGTATAATTCTATCATGTTTCTATTTTAGGTGATTTAGAGTGATGTTGGAGAAAATGTTACTCTATAATATAATTTTTAAAAAAGTAGAGTGGGATTGGAGATGCCTTAGAAATGTTTACAGACCAAAGCAAATGTTTTCGGAAAGCCCGAGGGCAAAGAGTTCTCTTACTTAATCATGTTTCACCACTTGATTTAGTGATTGTGGTAAACTGAAATTCACCATCCAACAATTTGCCAGTTATACTTATTAAGAATATAACATAAAATTTCTAATATAATATTCCGTTTAATTTATTGAAATTATTTTTAATTTTATGCTTATTTTGAATCTTTCTTAAAATTTTATTTTCATACCAAAAAAACATTCCTAAAATACATAAGAAATTGTACTCACATATGATTCATGTATTTATTTTAATTTTTTTTAATAGTAGAATGTAATCTTAAAAAAATCACGTTATTAAAAAGAACATTGCTGATCTTATAAAGTTAGTAATAATTAATTTATAACTAAGATCATCACCTTTTAATGAAATGCGATGGTGGAATCACGTCGATTAACACGCTGTCCAACTACTACACTGGGTATTTTTGCAAATTTTTTATAATAGTTTCTTTCTGTTCAGTACTAAACTTTTTCCTAAATGACAAAGATGATATGATTAAGATAAGCATCAAAATGGAAAAAAAAAGAGAAAGAGACACTTTACAAGTAATGATATTTAAACAATTAATTTATAGAAGAATTAGAAGCTTGAGAGTGTACGCTTGAGCTGCTGGCTGGATCACTAACAATCTTTATAAAGCTCTCTTCCTTGGCTTTTAACAAACAAATCTCTCTCATCAAGTCATGCAACTGACAATATTCAAATCTCGAAATCAACACGTCTCTTTCAGAAATAACCATATTTCTCTTCAATAACTCTTCTATGTTGAGATCCGCATTATCTCGAATGGAAGCTCCCTCGTAATGCCTAGGATTTGTTATTCCTTCTGCAGCCCAGACATAAGACAATCTGTCTATTTTTATTTTATGATCTTCTGGAAAAGAGGCTAGGTAGAGTAAGCAGTGCTTCAAATAACTAGGCAATCCTTCAAAGCTCAAAGACAAAACATGATTAACCGTACTGCTATCGTCATCATTGGAACTAATCCGCCCTTCAACTATGTGAGCTTTAATATTCTCAGATATCATTTTCCACTGACGCGATGTGTGTTGAGCAGCTAACAACCCTCCTAACACTTTGACAGCCAATGGTAGTCCTCCACAATGTTTAATCATCTCCTTAACCATTTCTACCATATCTTTATCAATTATATATCCTACACAACATTATGCAATCAAATATCAATTGCGTTTGGATCTTTAATTTTAAGATATAGTGAAACTAGACGTGTATGAGATATCGTAGATGGCTTTCTTAAGGATGAGAGACAAATCATGGTAAAACATCTTTAATTTTGGTTATCAAAAGAAAAATCATGCAAATTTTGATTGAATCAAAGATTCTAGTGTTTTAGTGAGCTTGGTTCTTATACTTTTTGACATCATTTAGAATCATTAAAATATCTTTCATGTTTCGAAAAAAAAAGAATAGTTAAGTTAATGACTATTTAACCATGTATAATAAATAAAAATTATTTTATAAGAATTAATCTACATCAACCTTTTTTCCCTATGCATTGACAAACACTTGTGTCCCATTATGAATTTTTTTCTTGTATTTTTATAATTCAAATCTTGTAATCGGTTTTTAGAAAACAATTATTCTTTTTTCCGTTTTTCTTTTTAATTTTCAAACGTCCTTTCCTGTTTTTTTTTATATTTTGAAGTTCTAAAAAAACACACAACTTATCCGAGAAAAAATAAAATAAGTGAGAACGTATTATTCTATGGGTGAATTAGGTGAATAACCTAAAAATATAATAATTTAAGAGTATAGCATGTTTTGTTCAAAATTAAGTAACTAACTGTATTTCTAAAAACTTATTATTATTATTACTATTTTATTTTTTGACCAAAAAGAAAAAACTATATAGGGTTGTGAAAAGACCAAACTATCTCTACAAAGGAAGAAGCATATTGGCGTGTACTACGAAGAGAGAAAAATATGGCTATAGGTAATAACAAAATATATTCCACCTTTGTAATCTTGTTTCTTATATTAAATCTAACATCATTAATTTGTTACATGTTGCAATATTATTAGAAAAACACAGATATTTTTTTGTTTATCTAACATAATTTGAATTTTTCAAATCATAAACGAATTTTTCATAAAGTAAATAGTAACACTATGGAAAATCACCACATTCTATAAAGACATGCATAAAATAGAATAATATATTATATCTGTTAATAATTCAACGGTGATGACGGCAGTTGTGGCGGTGGTTATGACTTATGACTATATTGGTGATGATAATGGTGATAGCCACGTGGCGGCGGTGGTAGTTTTAGTTGTGTGTTTGTGGTGATAGTGGTGGTCGTGGCTGCGGTGACGGTGGCAGTGGCGGTGACAATGGCGATGGTGGTGGTAATAGTGGTTGTGATTATGATGATGGTTGTGGTGGTCGTGATGATGATGGTGGTAGCGACGATGACGGTGGTGGTGAGGATGGTGGTGGGTTAGTGGTCTTTGAGTTGATGGTGGTAGTGGTAGTGTAATGGTGGCGATAACGGTGGTGGTAGTGTTGGAGTGATGGTGAGGTGGTGGTAAAAAATTGTGATGGTAATGATGAATTAGAAAAAAAATATTATAAAGGGTAAAATTGTATT